CCAAACCCCTAAACCCTAAACTCTTGAACCCCTGCACCCCTGAACCCCAAACCTTCATGTGGTGGTTTCCTAAAATAGGGGACGCTAATATAGTACCCCAAATAGTAGGATCCTTATTATAAGGACCCCAAAACAAGGTACCCCTTAATTTCGGAAACTCCCATTTGAGGAACGTTTTCGAGCAGATGGGCCGCCAGACGCTTGGACCGGCGGAGGCCGACGGTCTGCTTCGGGTCTGGGTAATTTATCTTAGGGGTTTAGGGATTAGGGTTCAGGGTTAGGGGTTTAGGGGTTTAGGGTTTAGGGTTTAGGGATTAGGGTTTAGGGGTTTAGGATAGAGGGTTTAGTAATTAGGGGTTTAGGGTTTTACGGTTTAGGGTTTAGAGTTTGCCGGGAAATGGCGCTTCGGCGATAGTGTCTTGCGACAAGGTTGTGTCGAGTGCTTCGTAATTTGGTGACAAGCTGCGAAAGCCCGTCTATAGAGGCCTTTCTTTTTTCCCCCAGGCCGTCTACATAAGGCGGCCGAGCCACCCAAACTTATTCCTGTGAAGATTCAGGCCTAAACTCATCAGGGCAGGGCAGGGCAGGGCGTTGAGCAGGGGGGCAGAGAGTGGTAATGAGTAGTGCAGGGCAGGCACATTCGTTTGGGGTGTCCCTGTCCCTTTGGCGTGCTGGTCGACCTGTCACGCTCAGTTGCGAGGGGCTTACTTTTTTGTAGGTCCTTATTGCGCTTTCCTCTTATTTTGAACCCAATTTGGAATTTCTGGGGACCCCATACATTACAGATTGGTGTTTAAAATAATAAGAGAAATAAGTAACATTAAATTAGTAAGGACCTACAAACAAGACAGGTTTGGTAGGTTAAAGTAGCTCTCTAAGAGGTCCAAGGGTTTGGGGGTCTGAAGGGGTTCACGGGCTTAAAGGGAGGACGCCTTAGTTGCTTAGGGTATATAGGGTTTAGAGCTTTTGGGGTTTAGGATTTTCGGGTCTTGGCATGTGGGGCTTGCGTCTTTACTTCAGGGTCCGAAGATGCATTCCCGGACAGTTTTAGCCCTCTTTTGGGGTTACCTTGTTTCCCGACTATCGGATCCTAGGTGTTACAGTAAGCTGGCCATCCGGAGCAAGAAATCTAAGAAGCTGCATTGGGTAGTACAGGAAGGGTCTTTGGTCGGAAGAATGTGTAAAAATATCCACGGGTATTTCCGTTAACAGCTACGCTAGCATATTCCCCAAAGCCCAGTCTTGTTCTTATCCCTAAACCCTAAACCC